GTAGGGAAACTGTTCAAATTACAATAAAATTGTAAATTTTTTTAACTCTCTAAAGTCATAAAATAAATAAATTTTAAATTAGTAAAAGTTATGATTTTAAGAATTTTTTCTAACTTAAAACATGAAAATCACCCAAAACAACTATTTTTGCTACCATCAAACTGTTTTATCAAAAATCAAGATGTTTTTCAAAACAACTTTCTTGAAAATATCACAATTCTAAACCGTGATATTGAATAAGATGTTATTTTAATGAAATACGAAAACCTCAAACTATATTATTTCACCCAAAAGAATTTCATATGTGCTCCTTCCACATTTAATTATATTTTGAATGATAATTATACAATTTATCCGAAATCATCATACAACAAAATGGTAGGACCCAGGAGTCCTGTTACAATATCATGACAACTTTCGAGGTTTCATTTCATTACCCTGTGGAGCAAGGAAGATGGTTGTTGCACATGGATAAAGATGAAAAGCTCAGGCCCAGTGGTTCAGTTCAGGCAACAGTGATGCTTCGCATCCATGACTTCTTGTTTTGTTGAATCAAGTTGTTCTCCTCGAGCAAGACCACAGTTAGACTTTGATTTCTAACCTAGGAGGGGAATCCAGAAACTTGGGTTTTACTTCAGAGGTTGGATGACCTCACAGTATCAGAGCCATGGTTGACAGCATGCAAGGAAGAAGTTGATGCCACCGTGTGGATTTCAAACTAAGAATCAATATCACGTTGAATAACGGAGACCGTTCATTTTTTCAAAGGAGTTGTTGCTATTTTTCAATTTTTATGGAGCATTTGACCAGTTAGCTAATAATTCAATTGACCATACTATTTGATAGTAATTATTTTCAAAGTTTCTCTTCATTTTTCTTTTTTGCTGACAATGACAGAAAGACTTTGCTTGCTGTCGCTCAGACCTATTCCAGACAACTGAAATTTCTGGAAGCTTTGTATGCGGGAATCATAAGAAAAATATTTTCCATTCATATGAAAACTTGATCCAGGAATAAAGAAATCAATTGCGTACGACATACCCACAATTCTGAAAAGCCGGTTGCAGAAGGGACGTGCTGTCCCTGTAAAAGGCCATGCACAATGTGGGCAATATCTGGAGGAAAACCAATCACTGTTGAAGATGTATAGATATCCGAGGGAGCTTATTGGCTTCAGATTGACATGCTCAGGAACCTGAATATAAAACAGCAGGAAATGGATCAAATTCATAAGTAGAAATGGTAAATTACTCTTGCTCCCCACGCGCTCTATAAATAACATAGAATGGACGACAACACCATGTGTAAGAGCCAAAAACAAGTATACAAGGAAATACTTATGTAAGATTATCATTCAAATCCATGCACAACCAGGTCATTTCTCTCTTGCACACACACACTGACGTTGTTACAGATCATCCAAACATAACAAAACTGATTTAGTACAAGCAAGGAATTAAGGCTTACTTTCAAACACAAACCACTAACTAATGTAAAAAACTGCATGTTACCACAATGAATTGATTCAATCATCCGCAAAACTGTAGATCATCTCCAAAAAATCACTAATTTATTAAAACTCTGAAGTAGCCATCCATTTTAATGTGCCCTTAGTAGAAGGGAAAAGGCTTTTCAGTTGACAAAGTTTGCACCTCCTATTCTTTCACATGGATGAGAAGACATCTATTGTAAATTTTAGAAGCAGGCTGAATTCTCAGCAACTTAATCAGAGGTTCCTGAAAATATGTTGAAAAACTCCATATTAGACTTCATTTTTTTAACATCACTCTTGACGATGACGCATTTGACTATAGGTGTACCTGCTGGTGCTCAAGGCCATATTGTTTGGTGAACAACTGAAGCATCAGCTCTCTGCCCACATGCAAACTTCTCCTCCAATCACGAGCTCTTGCAGAGAAGTATCATTTATTCCTTCAAGTAGTTCAGCTTTGTAAAAATCATCCCAAGGGGCATCTAGATGGTCCAGATACCAAAAACCCTGATTGCTGAAGACGCATCTGAAACCTTTTGCAACAGCCTTTGCACAGACCCAACCACCCAGCCCGCAGCACCTGAAAGAGAAGCTATTGTTATCTTGGCATGATATTAGAATGGAAGAAAGTGGAAACAAAAACGCATCACTTATGCACTATAGTCCTTGGATTAAGGTTTGATGCAAATGTATTGAATGTTTCTTCCCTGAGAAAATGAAATAAAGATCTGTCAAATGTCTAGCACTCAATATCTCTAATTTGGGGAACAAATAACATGGATAAGAAATCTGTTTCAACAGGTCATCTTGTCATGATAGGTCCATAGAAAGAAAATCCAAGAGGAAAACCAATTCTGAGTGCTGGTATAATTTTATATGATGTGGATTCAAACAGTTCTTATTGAATCCAAGATAGGATATTATGCAAATTAACCAGCAGGTACCCTGCCTCAATACCAGGCACCTTTTTTCACCCACAAATACCTGGCACTTTGGCAATTCCCCGATTCCCATTTGCAAGCATGGCAACCATGATCTATTACGATCTAAGATCACCCAAATACTAAGTACGCACCAAAGTACATTAATAGGATACAGTTACACAACATAATTTTTATTAAAAGCATCAAAATACTGAGCAGAGCGAACCACTTAGTTTAATATTTTCACCTTCCATGCAAATTAGTTGAACTTAGGACCCTGCAACTTTCAAGTTTCTGCAATAAATGGTTATCGAACAGGGCAAAGAAAACGCTAGATGCTGGAAACAAAAATTCTATAAAAGCCAGGAGGACGTGATTAAACATCCCGCCCAACCAATTTCCAGAACACGCCCATCTTTTATGAGATCCTTTTTCTTGTAGTAGAAAACTACAATCCAGGACTAGCTGTATTGGAGTTCAACTGATCATTTGGAACTCCCGTCATTTGACGTGTCTAATTTCATAAACTTATATGAGATTTATTTCTTATGTGAAAACCTAAAACGATAAGCCATAGAGATGGTATTGGACTTCTCCAAGAACAAGACGTAGGCAAAACAAATATTTTTGCCTAAGAACTTCCTACACAAGAGCACTAGTACGTGCTTGCATCAGAGATTTAAACTAATAACTTCACATGAGAATGGTCAAACAATGTCACCTTTAAGGTAAATTTTAAAGGCCATGTTTTTACCCATGTCCTTCAACCTATACTCTAGTGAGATATATTTAAAAGCTAAATTTTTGGAGCAGGCTAGTTTGGAAATATGCATCATCACATATCAACTAATAAGGTGAAGAAAATGATAAAGCAAATGAGTTCAAGAACGTACCATTGCTTCACATGCGATGCAGAGATCCAGCAATCTGTCAGATATTGAACCATTTAGTGTGACTAAATATTATAAGCATGAAAATACAGACACACACATAGTGCAAGCAGTTAGAAGCCAAGCTTTCCTGATTTCTAAAGCAGATATAAGTGATTATATTGGTAATGAACAGGTTTTTGAAGAAGAAACTTAATGGCAATGAGTTGAGAGATATCATCTTGTGCACAACACTCTCAAGCTATGGTCACTCAAATTAATTATAATAACAAAAGGAAAAAAACTGTTCATTTAGAAACATGATCTAAATTTTTTCTTTCTAAAGTTTTGACAAATAAAAGGATGGGACCACCTCTCATTTTGCAAAGCTTCATGTTATTCAATGGAAACACCAAAAAGAAAAAAAAATGTTAGCCAGGCAGGTTAAGTAGAGCATAACATTCAATAGACATGATGAAGATACTAACATAGGCTGCGAAGTTTTTTTTATTCAAAAGGAAAAAAGATAAATAGGCATTATTTTGTTCAAAATGATAATTTTTAGTCATATAAAAGTCTAGTTCACTTCTTGAAACATTCATTCTATCGAGTCCATCCTTCTAACAGTTGATTCCCTCACCATCATTGATCGTTTCTTATTTATTGACTCACTGTCAATGTTCTGCTGAATAAGCTATAGGAATACTATTTAAATAAGGAAGTTATTGAATGGGTAATAGAAATCTTACTTCACAATTTCATATGCATCCTCAACTGTGTATCGTTCCCATTTTGTATATGAACCTTTCCCCAAATTTGGAAAGGACGGTACTTCTAAAGGAAATGACTGTTCATCTATGATGTGCCAGTGGAGGACATTCTACTGAATGTAATATCCAATATCAGATAACGATAAAATAATGAAAGGAGAAAAGCTCCCGTACAACATTACTTACAAGTTTAGCATATGACATTGATTCATTTATCTGCTTTATGACATTAATTGGCAGATAGTGCCTTGACGTCTCTGCAAGAGTGTACTTAAGAAGGGAACTGAGCAGCATTTTAATTGAAAAATTAAGATAGGAAAGAAATTGCAGTGAAAATTGCAGTTTGCTATCTCCCTCAACAAAAGAAATAATTCTCAACAGGCAAGAGCCCACGACATGCAAATCTCGGTTTGTCTACATTATTGTACCATGGGGCTTTGTATATTTGAACTGTTTTGGTCTCATAATCAGATGCACAGAGTTGGCTGAACTTCTGAAAGATCACAGCAGAGAAAATAGAAGGGAGGGTTAGCGTACTCAACTCCAACCACTCATATGCACATCATTCTTTTCTAGCAGTTAGTTAAATATTTAGAAGGTAGACACAATTCATACACTCAGTCAAAGTCAAATCACAAGCACGCAGCTTCATGGAAGCCACGCAATAAAGAGGAGCTCGAGATGGCACTAATTTAATACAAGATTTTTTCACTCAATGGCAAAGAGATTTTCCGAGGTCATATTGAGCACAACAAGGGAGTTAACAGAGAATTTGACCTGTTTCTCTCCGCACTTACGGTATTTATCGTTAATGACCATGCATTTACTTCATGTGTGGGCGATTTTAAGTGAAAATGTAGCTATTCTCTACCTCCTTGCCCCCCATCCCCACCCCCGCTGCATCTCCATTCTCTCTCTCTCTCTGATCAACTAGGAAGCGCCATCCAACATATGATCAAAAGCAAAATTCTGACAGGCCACCATTATATGCATGTGAAAACTTTAGTATACACTTCAAATGTAATCACAGATACCTCCAACCCTCGCAATGCACCATACAGCGTATTTTCCAGCAACAACAAGGAGAATTTGAACGTCACTGGAACAAAAACATAACTAGTTAGAAAAAGAGGTGTCTAATCGTACATTATTAGCACTACATTCAGCATAAAATAGCTAGATTGAAGAATCAAATCCAACATCACTTGTACAAAAATGCATTTGGGTAGAACAAAGTCATCTCCTTCTTTCATTTCATTACATTCTACCAAACTACGGTGAAAAAAGAGAGTCCTGTTCTTCAAGAAATAATAGACGACTGCATCTGGGTCTCCATCAATTCACAAAAACAACCCCTACAGAATCTCAATATTGAAACTTCACCTCAATGTGTAAATGCCTCCCCGATAATAGACTGACCATTTCTCTTTTCCACGAGCAACAAATAACTCTCATCCAGTCCAAGTTGAAGCTGAAACAACCCCGAGTTTGGGAATATTACAGACACGTACAGATTGCAAACAGAAGCGTTAGTGATGATTTCTCCGGAGTTTGGGATAGCGGCTGCAGGCTAAAATTCAAATTTTAAAAAAAAAATATTATAATTGTGATTTCATGGTATTGAAATAAATTTTTTTAAAAAAATATTTTAATATATTTTAAATAAAAAATAAATGTTACCGTAATTCTGAACACTACTTCAAGTTTATAGTGAAATGAGAGAGAAGTGATTGTTTGGCATGGCTCGTGCCAGGAGTCAACCATAAATATTAATTTTTGGTTAAGTTGAAACAGAGTTTTGTTTTACTAGAACTCATCATAAATTATGATTATATCCAAGTTTTATTAAAAGCACAATTTATAAATAATAGTTAACTCTCCACTGTTGATGTAAACAGTGGGATGGTAATGACTGAATTAACTCTAGACTGTATGGAAAAAAATTAATTCACTCTTCGTATAAACAATAAAAATGAATTAATTTACTCTTTAGTCATCACGTGAATAGTAAAGGGTGCCTGCACTATTTATATATCAAATAGGTTTTGGTTTAAATATAAATGTATTGAATTAGGTTTAATCTAATAAAATAAAAAGATTTAATAAAATTTTTCAGGTGTTATATTTTATTTGAAAAATTATTGTTTAATATTATTTAATAGCATTACATGATTATATTTGTAAACTTTAATCGTAATTTTAATTTTATTTCTGATGATATTTTACTTGATATTATTGCACACTCATACGTAATGAAATTGTAAATAGTTTAATGAAATAATAAAAAGTATTTTATATAAATTATTATTATTTATTTCATGATATAATAGCAGTAGTTAAATTAACAATATTTTAATTAAAAATCATGAATATTAATATATATATTTTATAATTATTGTATAATTTCAATTTCAAAAATATTCTTAATCAGACACGTTAAACTATTTTTTATTTAATCTTAATTTCAATCATAATTTTAACTAAATATATATTTTTTCAAACTAGCATCAACTAAAAATATATTTTATAAAATATTTTTTTAAATTATAACTATGAAAATTATCACAATACCAGATACACTTAAAAAAACCAAGGGGTAGACCAGTGGAGTAATAGGTGTGTCATGAATCATGATGATTGGATTTTGTTTTTTTGTACAAGTGTGTTTGGAAAATTTTGAATTTTTTTATATTTTTTATAAATATTTTTGTTTTGTTTTGAAATATTGATATTAAAAAAACTAAAAATATTATCTATACATAGTTTTAAGTATAAAATACTATAAAAAATAATCATTATCACCATACAAAACACACTCTATGAGTGTATAGGTTACTTGATTTTCTAGTAGTATTTATGCTACATAAAAATACTGCTTAATATTGTGGTAATTATTATTTTTATAAATATTTTTTTATTTTAAAATATTTTAAAATAATTTTTTTAATTTTTTAAAAATTATTTTTAATAACAGCATATATATATAATTCAAAAAACACATAAAAAATATATTTAAAAAAAAAGCCTCAATTGTGTAGTCAAACAAGGTCTAACTTTTGTTACAGGAATGGTTATGCTTTTATTTAAATGATGATAATGGTGGTAGTTTGTTATTAAATAATAATTTAAGTATATCATATATAAAATTAAAAATAATTATTTGTTATGAACTTTACAAATTATATATGTAAGATTAATAAAATAAATAATAAATCTCATATAAAAAATATTTTTTATTAGATTTAGATGTGATAATAGCCTCATCATCAATTATTTGACTTAGCATATCACTTGCTTAATCCAGTTATATAAATTATTAATTTAATAAAAATTATAATTTTATTAATTTTTTTAGATGAGTTAAAATTTATGTATTTGTTTAACTTGTAAATTAAACAATAAACTCCAATTAAAATTTAAAAAATTAATATTTATATATTAGTTTTCTTTTGAATTTTAGTGTCAAATAATCGATCTGTTATCATGAAATGATTGATTGACCTATCAAAAAATTTAATTGATGTTGTACTTTAAAAATATAATATTTAATTTTAAATCATGACATTGATAAAATATTATCATTTAACATGACATTCAAAAAATATATTATTTCTTCTAATTTTTTTGCTTTTATGCTAATTCACTGTTTTTTTTTTGCCAATTGCACAATTTATCCTTTAAATTCAGTATATTTTTTATTTAATATGATGTAATTAACTTATTGTGCCTTCTTGTTGTCGTAAATAATTACCTCTTTAGCTGCAGTGTAATGATTGCAGGGTGGGTTGGCAGGGCACACCTTAAAAACATCCTAAGAATCAGGTGGAACCTGGATCAGTACCGTGTTTAAAATTGCAGTAATTTTTCTTTTTACGTATGAAAATGATAAAAAAAACACAATTTAACTATAAAAATAAACACAACATAGGTTTTATAAAAGTGAGTGTTGGAAGTGGAGTAAATTCTGTTTTTTATACATTTTTAAAAGTATTTTAATTGAAAAAATATAAATTAATAATGTTAAAAATAAAAAAATATCTTGATATATTTTTAAATAAAAAATATTTTTAAAAATATTAGACTCCACAAGTTCAAGTACTTAATCGCAATGACATATAATATCAATATATTCTCAATCATATCCAGTTAACTTTAATTTATGTAATTATTATGTAATTAATTTAAACTAAATTTATTTATTTTTTCTAGAAAATATTAATTATTTATTATTATGTTTTTCATCATTTAACAAAATAAATCTTATAAAAAAATTTAAGTGATTCAGTTTCAATTCGAATTCATCAAATAATGTAGTGAAATCATAAATTATTTTTAATTCCATGTGAAAAAAAAATTCATGGGTTTCATATGACAATTTGAGAATTATATATCAATTAAAACCGATTGATTAAAATGTTAAGGATGCAATTGGGACAATAAATAAATTGAGAATTTAGAAGATGTTTGACAAAATTTTATTAAGATGTTTTTTAAAAATATTAAATTGAAATTTTTTAATATTCTCCGAAAATAATAACTGAAAACAATATGTTGAGTTACATGTATATCAGTGGACGTGTCATTCCTGCCTTTTCGAAGTGACAATCTCATCTAGTACATTTAATATTTGTCGGACGTGATGAATATAAATGCACATATCAAACATGTATTGAATAAAAAGCCAAAGACTGCTCCTTAAAAAAAAAAAAAAAAAAAAACCTAGAAAAAGATCTGCAAAATTGCATCGATTTCAATCTTCAATCTACAAACTAGGAATTATATAGAAAAAAAATCCAAAATCGAAGAACTGGAAGTTTTGAGGTTATCAGATGTGTAGGGAAGGGAATTAAAATAA